AAATCCCAATGTAGTTTTAATTTGCATTTCTCTAATTGCTAGAGATGTTGGCCATTTTTTTCATCAATTTGCTGACCATTTGTATATCTTTTTTGAGAAGTATCCATTTAGTTCTTTATTTTTTCCCTTTGGTTAGGAGAGATTTTTATTTTATTTTCATTTTTTTAGACATACATGACAGTAGAGTGCATTTGGACATATTATATCTACATAGAGTATAACTTATTCTAATTAGGATTGCATTCTTGTGATTTTACATGATGCCAGGTTCCACTGGTCGTGTATTCACATATGAACATAGGAAAGATGTCCAATTCATTCTGCTGTCTGTCCTATTACTATATTCCTCCCTTCCCTTCATCCCCCTTGGTCTAAACCACTGAATTTGTATTCTTCCCCCACCCTTGTTGTGTGTTAGCTTCCACATATCAGACAGAACATTCAACTATGTTTTGTTCCCCCCATTTATTGATTGGGTTATTTGGTTTTTGGGGTGTTAAGTTTGTTGAATTCTTTGTATATTCTTTGAATATATTTTGAATTTATTGTATATATTAATAGGAGCAGGTGGTAAAGATTTTCTCCTGTACTGTTTCTCTTCCTTCTCTTATTTCCTTTCCTGTGAAGAAGTTTTTAATTTGATGCCATCCAACTTACTGATTTTTTATTTTATTTCTCGTGTTTACAAGTCTAGCTATGGAAGTTGGTTCCTATGGTAACACATTGGAGTGTTGGGTCTACCTTTTTTTCTAGCAGTTTCAGGGTTTCTGGTCTAATTCCTAGGTCTTTGATCCATGTTGTTGGCTTTTGTGCAGAGTGAGAAACATGGGTTAAATTTAATTCTTCTACATATGTATTTTCAGGTTTCCCAGACCATTTATTGAAGAGGCTATCTTTTCTCCAATATATATTTCTGCCAGCCATCTCTCTAGTGTCTGACAATTGTTTTGTGTTGTTATTGTTTTGTTTTGGGTTGGTTTGGCTCTGTGTCTTCTGTTCTTTTCCACTGGTCATCATGCCTGCTGTGATGCCAGTACCATACTGATTTTGTTACTTTAGCTCTATAGCATAATGAGTTCTGGTATTGTGATGCCTCTTGCTTTGCTTTTCTTACTAATAATTGCTTTGACTATTCGGGGTCTCTTATTCTTCCAAATGTACTTCATAACTGTTCTTTTTTAGTTCTGTGAAGAATATCATATCATTAGAATTTTGAATCTGTAGAGTGCTTTTGGTGGTACAGCCATTTTGCCTATATTAATTCTGCCTATCCAAGAACATGGTAGGTCTTTTCATCTTCTCAGGTCTCCCTGAATTTCTTGAGTATTCTATAGTTTTCACAAGATTATCTCAATATATGCAGAAAAAGCATTTGACAAAGTCCAGGACCCCTTCATGTTTAAAACACTAGAATAACTGGGAATAGAAGGAACTTACCTCAACATGAAGATCATAAATGACAAAATATCACCAACATCATATCAAACAGAGAAAAGCTGAAAGTGTTTCCTCTAAAAACAGAACAAGACAAGGATTCCCACTTTCACAACTCGTGTTTAACACAGTCCTTGAAACTCTTGCCAGAGCAATCAGACATGACAAAAAATTAAAGGGATATGCATGGGCTCTCTCTCATCCAGCAAGGAGGTCCATGGAACAGGGGAGAGGAGAGTATGGCTGCATAGTTGCTAATCAAGACCTCTGGAGACCAAGCAGGGAGCAAGTCTGATTTCATTGTGCAGTTACCATGTATATATACTCAGGCAGTAGCTAAGCAGATTACAGGCACCCACCAATGCAATTTCTGCTAACTGTGCTTGCAGCAACCAATCGAGGAGTGGACCGTGGAGCAAGCACAGGGACTGTGACACACAGCCTCATGCCCAGGACTGTGCCTACGGGGTAAGCAGCCTGTCGCTCATCCATCTAGCACAAAGGAAGTGGCCTGCCACTCTGATGCCCTTTATGTATGCCATGTATGTAGTATTCCATGCACTTGTCCCCACAGGGATATAAACAGGAAAAGAAGAGCTCAAATTATCTATTCACTGATGATATGTTCCTATAATTATAACATCCAAAAACTCCAAAAGAAAGTTTCTAGAGCTCATAAAGGAATTCAGCAAGGTAACATGATACAAGAACAACTCTCATAAATCAATCACATTTCTATATTTCAATGACTAATCTTCTGAGAAAGAGATTAGAAAACTATCCCATTCACAATAGCCTCAAAACAATAAATTGCAAATCAGTAAATTCAAAAGAATTGAAGGACTTTTGCAATGAAAACTATAAAACACTAATATTAATTTTTTTAACTAGGGATTGAACACAGGGGCCCTTACCCACTGAGCAACATCCCAGCTCATTTGGTATTTTATTTAGAGACAGGATCTTACTGAGTTGCTTAAGGCCTCACTAAATTGCTGAGACTGTCTTTGAACTCTGCACCCTCCTGCCTCAGCCTCCTGAGCCTCTAGGATTACAGCCATGCACCACAGTACCCAGCAACTTTTTAATTTCATTTTTAAAACTCATTGGCTTCGTGAGTACACTTTCAATATGTGGTATGTAAATAAAAAGAAGTTACAAATTTCACCATTGTCAAGTGCATAATGTAGTGGCATTTATTGTTATTTGTTTTCTTGTGAAACTAACTACTATCCATCTCCAAAATTTGTCATCTTAATGCAGTGAAATCTTGATACCTAACATAGGCTGAAACCATTATACTATAAAACATGGTGAGAAACTAAAACTCTTTATGTTATGAAGAGGCACATTAGCAGGGCAAACTGTTTAGCTTTGCTGAATTTTCCAAGATATTGCAACTGAACAACACAGTTGCTAAGAGTGGAAAATTCGGCTGTGGAGTCTCCTAAGTGCATTTTTAATGTCCCTGTTCCTCAGGCTGTAGATGAAGGGGTTCAGCATGGGGGTGACAACAGTGTACATCACTGAGGCCACTGCACCCTTTCTGGGAGAATGTGATACAGCTGAACTCAAGTACACTCCAACAACTGTTCCATAAAATAAGCAAACAACTGCCAGGTGAGAGCCACAGGTGGAGAAAACTTTGTACTTCCCACCCGAGGATGGGATCCTCAGAATGGAGGCAATTATCTTATAGTAAGAGAAAAAGATCCCTAAAATAGGGAAAAGGCCATATATGGCAGCAAGAAAGTACTTGACAATGTTATCAGAGAAGTTGTCAGAACAGGAGAGATTCAGAAGTTGAGAAGGGTCACAGAAGAAACTGGAAATTTTCACATCCTTGAAGCTGGTAATTTGTAAGATCATCAAATTGTGCAGCTGAGAGTCCAAAAGACTCAGCAAAAATGACACCAAAGTTAAGAAGCCACAGAGGCGAGGGTTCATAATGACTGTATAATGCAGGGGGTGACAGATGGCCACAAACCTGTCATAAGCCATCACAGTCAGAAGCATGTCATCCATACATACAAAAATGCCAAAAAGAGACATTTGTGTTAGGCAGCCAACGTAGGAAATGACTCTGTTTTGAGTTTGGATGTTCACGAGCATCTTTGGGACTGTGGTCGAGATGAAACCGATGTCCACAAAAGACAGGTTGGAGAGGAAGAAGTACATGGGGGTGTGGAGGTGGGAGTCAGAGCTGACCGCCAGGATGATAAGCAGGTTCCCAAGCACCGTGACCAGGTACATGGACAGGAACAGTCCAAACAGGGTGGGCTGCAGATCTGGGTCCTCTGAAAGGCTCATGAGTTGGAATTCTGAGACACGTGTTAGATTTTGTGCTACTATATTGCTTGAACACCTTTTTAAAAAATCAAAGAATGTGAGAATTAAGAAACGTGTACCAAGCACCCCTCCATCTGTACGTATTTGCATGGAAGTATTCACAAAATTATTCACACTTTAATACTGTGCATCAATAACGATTCTCAGGCATGTAACACACAGTCTTTGTACACTCTTCATTCACATTCTGCATTATTTACCCCTCTTCCATATCAGCTTGAGAGACATTGGTCTGAACAATGTTAGAAGTCTAGGAGCAGTGGAAAAGCAAGTTCATGATCACAACAAAATATTGCATACTCTTTTATGAAAAAAAAATTAATAATAAGAAATGGCCTTCGTTATTAAGAAAACACTATTAATGAAACTATTTATTAATAAAAGGAAATTCAGAAGCAGTTTGATATGCCTTGTTTGGTTCTATCACCTTGGGATAAATTCATTTGATTTCAGATATCTAAAGTACTGTGTATCAGGTACTTTAATTTCTCTGACAACTAAATCATGAGTGAGAAATCATAATTAGAAAATATGATGGGCAATCATCTTCAAGAAATCTCATTATTCATTTGAATTTTATTCCCCTACCCTTAAGTTTGTTCTTGAAAATTTATATAAATTAATAAATATTCTTCTCTTTGATGAACTTTAAATTTGGGTAAATATTGTTAAGTGCACACAGTCAGTGTTATCACTTACCACAAATGCAGCATTTATATACACTGTACCTGTCAATAGTTCTAAAATCTTAAGCCCTAAGAAAAACTTTGAATAGATTACATTTTGACACTTATATTTAAATTTAAAAATATTTTATTTCTCTTTGGTATAAATTTGATATTTCTATAAATTTTGATATTTTATATCAACCCATAGAATATCAGTGAAATACCTACTATACAAAACAATTCTTCATTCTTTTTTTAAAATCTTCATTCTATTCTCCAGTTGTATGGAAATTCTTACTTCAGCTTTGTGAAGGACAGAGATGGTTAGTGTATGTCAGGTTTCACTATTGAATTGGACAATAGAAAACAGAGAACAACAACCAGTAACATAATTACTTCTGGAAACTTCCTCATCTGTTAAACAGTAATAATAATTACTGACTTGGTGGAGATGCTGTAAGACTATTTTAAATTTAAGACTGAGAGTCAGGTGTGGTGGTATCTGCCTGTATTCTTAGTGATTAAGGAGGCTCAATCAGGAGGATCACAAGTTCAAACCCAGCCTCAGCAACTTAGGCCCTAAGCAATTCAGTGAGACCCTGTCTCTAATAAAATATATAAAAGGGCTGGGGATGTGGCTTAGTAGTTAAGCACCCTTGGGTTCAATAACCAGTATGCCCGAAAAAAAACTTTTTGAGATTGAGATTTTGAGGATCCCTCTCTAGGCTCCCTCTCCTATGCTCAGAAGGCCCACTTGCTCTGTTGTGCAGGTACTAGAAGATCTAGAGGGAGAACACTGCGCAGCCTGGAAGCCAGAAAATGAACATAAGTGCAATTTTATACCTGGATAAGAGGAAGAATGGAGAATATTATCCA